GTTGGTAATTCTGCATACGTCGCGGTGATCCCACTCAAAACAGTCCGTCCCGCCCCCAACAGGATGCGGCGCCTCACTCCACGCGGTCACACGGAGCGCACCATTTCCCCAACAGAAATTATGTTTCGCTTACCCCCTTAAAGATGCTTCCGTTATTTATGGGCCTTAGAACACAATAGAAAAAAATGGAACATGCTGTAATGATGCCATACCGCCAGCCACAATGGTTTTCTCATACCGGGGCAATTCTCCAATTATGCCTCGTATACACACACACAACTAAAAATACCATATAAAAATCACCCAATGTTTTTCACCAGAAGCCAAACAACCCCACTCCCTCCCCAATTTTCTTCTGTCACTGTTATGCTCGATTGCGTTGGACTTTTTTGGCATTTGTGTACGGTGCTGCCGCATGGGGCTAGTGCACCTGCGCCGTATGCACACGCACACATATCCAAAAATATATAAATCCCACAGTACTTTTTAACTGAAATCAAAACCGCCCCTTTCCCCAATTTGTTTTCTTTCTTCGGTGATTATTCCTCACTTAGGATGGCTTCATCTCTTTCAAATTCTCCGGATGATATTGTCATTTGGTACTGGCGCACCTTTTCCTCCCAGAACGCCGCAATTTATTGGTTTTCCTCCTCGCTCACATTATCAAAATTTACAACATCACATCCCTGCCAGCCAGTCATCGGCGTGCTGTCTGCGTGCTTCACGTAAATCATTTCCCACGACATGTCTCGGGACAATTCCTCCCAACTATTAAAATACGCCGCCAGGCACTCAGTGAACTGCCTCACAGTGCTGGCGGCGGTGTGATGCTCACCCACCGTAGCCATCCGCAGCCCAACCAGCGTCTTCCCCAGTAACTTCACTAAGAAAAAAAGGCGTCCACCAGCAAAAACTTTTCAACCGCCGGTATTCACAGCAGCCGATGCTTCATATTAGTATTTGTGTGGTATTCCATTGCAACCACTTCACATACAACTTGGCGAGGTGCTCTTGAGGGTTTGCTTTCAGCCCTGCGTACTGTCCTCAACGACGTGCTGGTGGCCTCAGCTCCTCGAGTTCCTCTACTAATGCAGCGACAAGCTCCACCAAACATTATTGCGCGCAAGTCAAACCCTCCCATACATTCATACAAAAGAGTACTCCTCTTCTCCAATAGTAGAAACTGAAAAAAATATGTTTTTCACACATCACTTTTTACAAAATAGTGCGGTATTCAACGTCCAAGGCAAACAGATATCGGTGCGTTAAAAAATTCATTAGCACCGACTTCTCCTCTTACTCTGACAACACTCACAAGCTTTTAAGACGGATTCTCAGAATACCACAGTCTCACTCCCCGATGTATGAAGTGCTTTTTACCATCCCGAAACTTCAACCATTCCAAGGCATCCTCAATGGCAGCAGAGTGTGCAATGAACTTATTCGCATCAAAGATGTAACGTGGAATTGATCCCGTATGATAAATGTGTTCTTTGACCTTCCTCCAGTGTTCCGCTTGATCATCTGTAGTCCCATTGCGCTTCATCTATGCGCACATCGCCTTCGCATCTATCTCGTAGGTGCAATTCACAATGATTTGCTCGGCTTTTATTTGCGTCTCCCATTCATCATAGTTGCGCACGTTTAGTGGTTACGCCACAATAATGCCCCATCCAGCAGAAAGCACAGAACATTTTTTGGCGGTGTCCCTTTCTTTGTCACATCGTAGATAATATACACTTTTATCCCAAAATCCAGCAAATCACACAAGAAACTCTTGCATGCTTTACCAACCACGTATCTTGTCACCGTCTTGATGGTCTTGTCAAACACGTACGCCGTACCTCCACCAATACTGTAGACAACCACTTGGTGTTTCTCCGCATCGCAGTGAAGCAGCTGGTAGAGGAGGTACGAGCCGGCAGACATTGACTCCCCAATCTCGGGCGTCTCAATCAACACATGCCGCTCAGGCGTAAAATAGGTCCCACCGTGAGGACTGAGCCATTCGGTTAGATCGCCAAGGACGATCTGCCACACTCGCTCCACCTCACAGTCCACATAGCAGTCAAAAATGGATTTACCGTCCCTTCACGTGTACGGCCATCCCTTGTCCGAGGTGAGCACCATCAGCCTGAGAAGTGCTGCACCGGACTGTTCCACACCGTCATTCTTTTCAATGGTTTTTCCAACCGCTCTGTACATCCATGACTGTGCTGGTTTTCCCTCATGCACCTCAATGTTTGTCAAACGACGTTGGGTGACTTCCTTGACATGATGCCACTTTGTATTGTTCACAGACTTGTAGAATCCCTCCAGCATCTCAACTTCATAAACTTTTGCTGCCTCACGCCTTGCTCTTTTCTCTGTCTCACGCCTTTTTTCTGTATATATCTGAGTGAGTACTCCGTTTATTTTTCCACTTACAAGAGAAGTGACCGTATCCTTTCCTTCATAGTCCCTCCATTGCCCGAGAGAGAACACACCCTTGTGATAAAGCTTTTACACCTGGTACTCTGTTAAATTAAAAATTCTTCTAAGAAGCTGCTGGTCTTGTACGTAATCATCCGGCTTCTGAAAAAAAGTCTCCAGCAAGACATTCTTATTGATATCCGCAACGCCTCTGCCGCCCAAGTTGCTACGAAGGAATTCATTCAGACTCATGTTGTTCCTGAGAGTGCTTCCCTCATGCAGGATGTCCTTTACGGTGCTGCTCATGGTCCACTGCGGTCGCCGCACATCCTCCACTCTTATGTGTGTCGCAACGAGTTGATCTGTACCAGCCTCCAAGTTCTGCTTCGCTCTCCTCCTACAATTTCCCTGCGGCACGGCAGACGCTCAACTCCCGGCATTGCCACCTTGCACTCTATTGTGCTTTGGAGGCGTTGTTTCTTCTTGTTTTCTTGATTGGATTGAGTTAAAGCTGAATACTGACCAACAAACGAGAGAGGAATATTAAAAAAATAATCACAGAAATGACTGGCAGCCACAGCAAGAGTTACATACGTGCGGTGTGACGGCACAGTGTGCGACGCACACCAAATGTACGAGGACCACCGCAACGACGGCAAGCGGGTGCCATCCACTCAGCACAGTGTTGATGAAAGCCAACAACAACGTGGTGGGCACGGAGGGTTCGTCCACGCATACCGCTTGCTACGGTCCGCACCCGTGTAGCACTGCCGTCACTACACACACTCCACAAGGATAGATGCGCGCGTGAATATCGCTCTTGACACGCACAAACATACAAGTGGGAAGAAAATTTGGTGCAGAAGCGGCCACACGCAAGGACTCCAAATCATACATGCCACAACAGCAATGCATCATGGTAAGCTCTCACACAGGGAATATATGTGTATATATGTATATATTTTTTATGGAAAATTTTTGCAGTTTGCATAGCACAAAAGAACTATGACGCCGCCTTCAATATTGCATTTGTCATTTACATTCCCAATGCATAGCCCCACAGATATCACCCCTCCATGGTGAAAGCGAATGCCTTGTTGTGGTGTCACCGCGCAGCAACACGCCTGGGTGAAAAAAAAAAGAAAAACAGGCGTCCGTCCACATGGAATGAGGAAAAACTCCACCGCAGTGTCCTCCACGACGCAAAAACTCCACGGCCAGTGCCCGGTGTCGTGTGCAGACTCCGCGAGGACGTTGTGGGCAAGCCACTTTGCCACACGGTGTACCCCCTCGAAACGCAACAGCAGACGTGTCCCCTTCCAGTCGCATTCGTTTCAGTGGTGGCATCCACTGCCTCGCTGCGTGCTGGTGGCGTCGACTACGATGCTGCAGTGTGATAGAGGGTGCCCGACAGGAGCGGTGCTTGGCTGGGTGGGCAGTGTCCTCCGCGGCGAGACACCCAGCGCGACTCCTGACCGCGGCGCTCACGCACTTCCCTCCACTCCTCTCCCTCCACTCGGCAATCGCACAGCCGCCGCCACATTGTCCCCAAAGCAACACACACTGGAAAGCGTGGCAGCATATTTCCCGAGAGAACACAGTAACAGCTACACGCTGCGGCCATCGTGCCGACAAGTCCGACGCGGCCGCGCCCACACCCACAGCAGCAGACACACAAAGAGATCTTCCACTCCGTGCCACGTCCTCGTGCGTGATGGTGCGGCATTTCAGAGCAATACCGCTACAGGCCGTGCAGCATTCCCACAGAGGATGAGAGCCACGACGCACTCTCAGTGCATCTTTATCTTCCATTTCCGCGGAATGCAGCAGCTGCCAGCACCGAGTGCACGAGAAGCATCAATCTGCACTGCAACATGTACGCCGTGCGGTTGTGTGTCTGCAGACACGCAAAGAAAAAAAAAGAGCCACGCACGTAAAGGAACGAAAATAAAAAACACGCAGCGGAGGTGCAGGACAGACAAAGAGAAAAGAAAGAAGGCAGCCAAAGCTCAAGATGGCACGGCAGCCCAACCTACGGCAACCCACAATACGCCTGCAGAAACAAAAAATAAAAATTTAAAACAAAAAAAAAGAACACATTAAAAAGCAAAAAACAGTCCCCTTGAAGAAGTTTTTCACGCTCACAAAAAAAAAAGAAAAAATAGCACAGTAACGCAGAAAAACAAAAATTCACGTGTATATTCTTCCTGCAAAAGTAAAAATATATTTGCGTCAGCCGTTCAGCCTCCTGGTGTCCACACAACACCCACATTTTATTGAGGCTTTCAGTGCGTTGCTGCACGTCTTAAATTCCTTCTTCACTGCACCATCGTCGTGGAGCTCAATGCCGACTGCACGTGTCATCAACATACGGAAACACTAAAGACATCCCGCCAATCTCAAAATATTCCACTATATAAAAAAAACGAGCATATAGAATAAAACAAAACAAATAGCTTGCGGTGCAGTTCCGGGAGGGAGAGCACGCTTTTAAATAGAGAATTGCACAGGCTGAAAAGGCATATTTAAAACAAAAATAAAATATATAAAATAAAAGGTACGTCCAAGCAAAACGTCAATTATTTAGGAAGGCGCGTGGAGAGGTACATATTGCTCCCACTGAAGGCAGGGGTCCCGCCGCGTTACGCCCCGTAGAGGGCCGCAAAGCCACACGGCCCCAACAGCACACGCAACACGCCCCCACGCATAGAGCCTTCGCTCTTCGTAACCAGTTTTAGTTCATCGTCACCCAGTGGGCGGTTGTACAGAAAGAAGCTCGTCAAAGTCGCATTGCTGCCGCTGTCTCCCTTATCGCCCCCAATGTAGAAGAATGAGACTTCAGCCCCCCGCGTCTCAGGTGTTCGTATCGTCTCTGGGCTCCCCACAAGCTTAGCATTCACCTACACAGATCCCCTGTAGCCGTCCTGCAGCATGAGTGCCGCTTGGTATTCTTTCCCCGGCTTCCAAGTGCTGCCCGATGCTTTTTTTATTTCGTAAAACACTATCTCCCAACTACTGTCTGCATTGTGCGACAGCCCAATGAAGTTCGTGCTGACGGGTGCATCCAGACCCGCACCCGGTAGAGGAGTGCTCAGCTTCGGAAAACTTTGGATCATCACCGTCACCACAATAGTGAAATCGCAGCTTACAAAGGTGTGCGGCCCATTATGCTCCCGGCTGCTCACGGGCCACGTTGCCCCAGACCCAAGCCCCGTGAATTAAAACCCATCTTTGACCTTCATTGCATTCTTCGTCACAATTGCATTCACGCAAAGGTAATCGTCGATCCACGTGCCACCTCCGGACAATGCGTTGGAAAGGAAACCAACCAGACCCGCCGTAGGTGTGAACAACTCAGAGAAGGAGGAATCCAGCTGTGCCCAACTCTTCAAGACGTAATTGATCATCTGTAGCCCCTCTGTTAGTGGGAAAAGTGAAATGGTGTTGCTTGCTACATTGCCACTTTCTTGTAAAAAGTACAACGCACCACTCGAGTACAGCAGGGCGTGGAAAAGTTCCAAGTTATTATCCATGGCAACGGGTCCAACAGAAAACGTGCGGTTGTTGTCCGTGACCCAAAGATGGAACACATTTTCCTTCTTATCCCCCGAGAAGTACCCTTTCCAAGTGTACAGCATCACCTTCACTCCCTCAATGTTCGCGGTGATAGGGGCTTCCACAGGCAAATTGTCTTCCCAAAAGACTCCCAATCGTGAATTGGTCCACACGCCTGAGAGTGTCCCAATAGCCCTCGTCCACGTTGCCCCCATGTCACGCGAATCAAACAAACTCTGGTCATCCTTACACTGAACGATCATGAAAATTTGTCTCCTATTTCATTCGGTGATGCTGGGGTCAAAGCATCCCGCAGGAGAAATGCCCTCTTGAAACGCCCAGTTGTTGTCGTTGTTTTTTGAATAAGTGATCCTGGAGAAAGATTGATTTTCCCCATTCCTCGCCCTCAGGGTAAACACAAGTGTGCCACCCTCCATCACAATGCCTGAACTACCACCACCACCCTCAAGATCAGACAGGTTGCTTTTAATCCTTTGGGGGATCTGTTGTTAAAGTGACTTGGGTTCAGCCCAGTCGATCAATTTACTTTGCACGCCGTCATTGGAGTGCGTGGCATCACCCTCAACTAGTTGAATATCCCAGCCATCCGTATTCTAGCGACCATCATTTGTTTCACATATTGTAGCTCCCCACAAGTAGAAGCACTTTATTGTCCTTTGCAATTGCTGTGGGGTTGCGTGCAACACCAAAAAGATCCTCTTCACTCACTGTACTAAACAGTGTGCGTACCCTCCATTTATCCTTATTGTTCTCGGCGGCAATTAACGGCCATGTCTCTGCGGCGTTGATGTACCCTGCCACAATATCAGAAGAAAACACATTCAATCTATAGTGGGAACCTTTATACTCGGTGTGACCTTCAGAAAATGCAACCGTCACTTCGCCAGCACGGACAAGAGAAG